CACACGCACGCGCACACGCACAGACACACACACACAGACACACAGAACACAGACACACACAGACACACAGAACACAGACACACACACAGACACACACACACAGACACACACACAGACACACACAGACACACACAAAGACACACACACAAACACACACACACAAACACACACACACACAAACACAGACACACACACAGACACACACTTGAACTCCAGATGGAGAGTGCTAATCTTTCGAGTACAACTGATGAGTCTCGAGTACAACCGACAAGTCTCGAGTACGATGAGTTTCGGCTCGCAATGCGCTTGGCTTCCCTGTAGGTACTTTAACAGGGAAACACAAACAACGGCGGTTCAGGGAGGGGACCAAAAGGACTTTCAGCAACATCACGACGCAGGTACAGGTGTCCACGTCTGGACACCCTTCCCACCTTTGGCAGTAGCTTCATTGCGTGCAGTATGCCAAAGGTGCTGCACGCCCCTGCTGCGAAATAGAAAGGGTGGTGACAGGGCATTCTGTCACTCCGCACACACACGCCCCTCTACGAGGGGCGAGGTTTCTCTTTTTCTGCAGGAAGATCACATGCTCAAACTCAAATCTCTATCGGTGACCAAAATATCCTCCACGGCGAGGGGAGCGAGACACTGCCCTAAACCGCTCAGAAGACGGGAACGAAAGATCACCACGTTGAGCGTTGCGAGTGTCGCCATAGAGGACTGAAGCGATTTGTGAAGCAGCCTGGCGATCACCATGAGAAAACGGAGTGGCATAGGTGAAGGTCTCCTCAACTTGAACGGCATCGGAGTTCCGACCTTGACCAAGAGTCTGATCCTGTGAATCGTGAGTTGCGAAGGACTCCATCCGAGACAGAATGCGCTGGTACCCTTGGTGTTGCCAGTCACGGATGTTCCATGCCTGGACTGGCGCTTCGGGATCCATCACCCGCTGCCATTCACGAAAAGAGTTTTCAGGTAGATCAGGTACGGCGTCACCACGGTGCCATCGTTGAGGTTGTCCCGGAGTGTATATCCGCACCCACTCCTGATCATGCCAGACCGAATATTCGAGCCATGGATACTGCTTGGAATCATCGATGTCCATGTCAAGGCAAGAGGCAAGGATGGTCGCGGGCTCCGATCCAGCTAGTAGATGAACAAGCACCATGCACAACCATGTTCAAACAACAGCAAAGCAAGATCATGCAAGTGTAGAGGCCACCCTTATTTTGTACGCTGCGCTGCTCATGCACGGCTAGTCGTCAGTCAGCTCGAAGACGGGCCTCATCTTGTCTTGGCCTCTGTCGGACGGATTCACGGGCGTGTAGGGGTCGGAGACCCCAATCGTCTCCGATGGTGTGTTTCCACGCGATGCACGTACTGGTTGATGAGGATGGGAGGTCTGACGTGCGCGGGCCGTCAGTTGTTGAGAAATCCCCTCCTGGAGACGAATCAGTTCTTCAGTGGAGAAATCAGCCGCGTCCGAGGACCTGAGAATCGCGTCTAACAGCTCCGGCGATATACTCAACGCCGCCGACTGCGTGGCCACGTTATGGTGATCGGAGGGATACATGGAATCAAATTCATGACCAGCGTGAGGAGCAGCGATTCTCCGATAGCCCTCTGTGGCCCAGTCTCGCTTGTACCACGTAGTGACTTGGACTTGCCCATCGTCTGAGTCCTGGTTGGGAGCATAGAACTCCCGCCATTCTCTGAAAGTATGCGGAGGAGGTGGAGCATCATGTTCTTCTTGAGGCGTCCATGGTCCCGGATGAAAGATCTTGACCCACTGGGCATCAGGTTGTTGCGGGTCTGGGCACCATTCCAGCCACGGCATGACAACGCAACCACGGAAAAACAAGTTGATAGGTGTACGGCTGCAGACAACAACAAGTGAAAGCAACTCAACTATCAAAAGGTAAAAGACCACTTTTGTAGCACTGTGCGTCGCCAACATCTCAGGCAGACTCTCTAGGGAGGCGAGGACGGGCATCAGCTATCATGTGAATTAGATGATGCCGAAGAGGAGGTCATTCCAGCATACATGAGGTCCGGTGCACCCGAAGCGAAAACTGGCCTCGCTATGCTGGGATGTGGACGACCCAGGCGTTGATACCCCCTGGTGACCCAGTCCCTGTAATACCAAGTGTAGAAGGTGGCATAGGATACCGGTTGCAGAGCCGTGCCTATAGTTGTGCCGCCCGTGCTTTCCCTGGGCCAGTACACTTCGAAGTGTGGTAGACCTTGCGCCATTCCCGATAGGCGGTCGGGTCATCCGGGGCCGGTCCCAGGGTGTCTGGGGCTACTGGATGCCACTGATCCGGCACATAGATTCGAATCCAGTCCACACTCGTTCCTGCTCGACCATGAACGATGTCATAGTCAAAATAACGAGGTAGGTCCCATCGTGCTGCACCCTGCACTGTACTATTGAACATTTCAACCCAACAAGCTGCTCAAAGGTAGCCCGGAAAGCGGCGGATACACTGAAACGACATGCACA